TTCTATATCTTTTTAGGTGATTCTCTTATTTCTTGAAAAAGAAAAAGCGAAAAAGCAAGAAACAATCTATTGTTTCTTAATCATCCACCGAAACAGAATATCGTGCCATGACATCTACTACCAAAAAAGATTGTTTGGTTACATTGGTTTCTTGCAGATATGGGAGTTTCCTTTTCTCATCTTACTCCTATGTATTGTGACAACCAGAGTTCTATTCAGATTGCTCACAACTCGGTTTTTCATAAGCGAACTAAGCACATTGAGATCGATTGTCATCTTACTCGTCATCATCTCAAGCATGGCATCATTGCTTTGCCTTTTGTTCCTTCTTCCTTGCAGATTGCAGATTTCTTCACCAAGGCACATTCCATCTCTCGTTTTTGTTTTCTAGTTGGCAAACTCTCGATGCTCGTAGCTGCCGCATCGTGAGTTTGAGGGGAGATGTTAAATAATATTTATGTAATCTTATTTATTAAGGGTAGAATAATACTTTTACTTTAATCTATATATACTTTATTTGTATTTAGGTTAAGGTTAAGAATTCATAATATATAAATTATTCAGAATTCTAATCTTCTTTTTGTTTGATGTTAATTATTTTAATAAGAGCATCATGAAATTTCTTTGACAACTTTGATATGATGAAGCCGAAAGATTCGATAATTTGATTAAATTCTTTTAATCATCTTGATGATAAATATTTTTTGTTCAACCTATACACATTTAATAGCTTGATCAACTTTGTAAAATCAATATCAGTGTAAATCTTCTTTCTTTTACTATGCATTTCCTTTACGGCTTACACCTTTCACTCTTGATACAAGTTCATCCAGAGAGTAATTATGGAGGTCAATTACTTTTAATACTATAAAAATAATCAAATAGTTCTAGTAATTACTAGCTATTTTGCCATTAGTTAAAAAATTTTATTAAAAAAATACCAAATATATAGGTTATTTCAAAGTATTTTATTACATAAAAAATTTAAAGTATAAATTGAAAAGTCTATACAATCTTATAAATAAATAAATAAATTGATAATCATTTATGAAAATAAAAAAATTTGCTAACAATAACTAAGAAACAAGATGCAAAAATAAGACATTTACCTGATTATATTTACTAAACTTATTTATTTAAATAAATAAAAGATATTTTTTTTCTAAACAACTCATAATTTAAATGATAAATACAAATGAAACTGACTTAATAAACTCACACCATAAAACATGTTATGCAAGTCTAAACTTACCAGCAAAATATAAGGAATAGATACTTGCTGATATGATTGAAAAATATAAAATAATAAAATAGAAAGCAATGCAAAAAAATTAAAATTAAAAGAATTAGGTTACTCATTACAAAAATTACATGATATTAAATATTTAGGAAGGAATTGAAAAAAACAAACATGTCAAAATTAAATGTTTCTTTGCATGACCAACATGTAATCCTAAAAAAAAAGAGAAGGGAAAAAAAAAGTAAATTATCAAACTAGACTCAATTACCATATACGCACCACTCAAGTAGGAAAAAGATGTTAAGATGAGTGCAATAATATGACGAAATCACGATTCAAACCACCGAAGTCAGGTGCATGTGTTACCCAAAAACGATAAAGTAGTTAATGCACTGATGAGTGCAAGTATATAGTATTTATTTGACCCATGAATAATTTTTTTTTGCAAAACAATGCAAGTTTTTTATTTTTTAAAAAAACATTATAATTACAAATCAGAAGGCATGTGCATGCATTTAATTAAATATATTGAGAACCATTTGTGCTGATAAATGCATAAAAAACAAAGTATTAACGCGTAGATTTAACTTGCTTCGTTGTAGGTCGATTATTTTTTTCTAACACAAAATAATTAATGTGTAAGTTTTATTAGTGTGTTAAATATAATCATAGACAAAAAAAGTTAATGTTTACATATAATAAAATATAGTAAAGATCGTATATATTAATAAAAACATGTAAAATCTTAAGTTAATTTTCAATGTAACGAAAGAATGGAATAATGTTGCAATTACTACAGTAAAATACTATTTCTTAGT